GCTGCTTGAACACAGCCATTGTGATCTTATTTAAAAAAAAAAAAAAGATCTTAATATTATATTATTATTATATTAGACTCATAAAAAAACAGTACACACAAAAATGTAAAATTGTTTTATACAACCTCCATGTATAAATCAACTGCATGTCAGTAAAAAAAACCCTGTTTAATGCATATACGGTACAGTATTTTATAGTTTGATGTGACCTATTCATGATGGTGGGGCAAATTTAGATCTTACTGAAGTGTGCAAGATAAGAAGGAGGCCTCACCTATATTTAGCCTAAATTTATCCAAGGAAAACAGGTGTCTAGAACAGAAAACTCACAAAATGCACAATGGAAAAAGTCTATTTTGACAAGATATGCTTCCCATGTTGTGTGCATTCAATGCTTCTCTCGAAAAAGAAGCACTTTTACCCATGCTTTTTACCTGAAAACACGAGTTTTAACTACTGTTCATCCTGGAGGTAGGTCTAATACCAGATCTCCAAAAAGACGGTGCAGTGCACTCCCTTCATTAGTTTTTAATTTTCGAAAGTTACACGCACACGAGCAGACGTAACTGTAATGGGAAAACAAATCATCAAATAGCCTACTCCAGGCACTCCCCCACAGAGGTAACTCTTAAGGATTAACCCAAAGAGTTTGTTTGACCATTCCATGTCTAGTGTGTTTATTAAAATCAGTAAGTAAAAGAACATGTACCTACCTGTCATCACCAACAAATATGTTACGTTTCTGAATCCTATCATGCGATCATGCGACTTTCTTCATAGACCATTAGAAAAGCGCACGAGTGCCAGCAGCGTGCTTCTAAAAGTGGATACACCACCTGTTGAACTCAAGCCTGAGCGTAAAAACGACAACACATTGGCAGGCATGTCCCATGAATATAAAAGAACACAACATAGAGGACTCTTCTGAATTATATCCAGGTTGGACTTCAGTCACTGTCTGTGGGTCACAGTTTCAGTCAGAATGATCAATGTTGTCCGTTCTCTCACTCTTCTATTCTGTTTACTGCTGAAATGTGTTAAAGCTTATCAACATGTGACAAACAGTTGTTTGTAGTTTTTGTAATGAGGTAATACAACACTTGCAAATACTTCTGAGTAAATACACTCTAAAAATGCTCGGTTATTTATTTTATTTTTTTACCCAAATGCAGGGTTCAGCTTGTTGAGTCATTTTACTCAGGTGCTGGGTAGTTCTGTTTCAATTCTCCTAACCGCCAGAAGCGGAGTTTAAACACGACTAGTGGATTACAGCATACCTCACCACGTGACTTTTTGGTATTTTATCTGGACCTATCGAGCTGGCGATGTGATAATCAAGGGATCATGAACTGAGAAATCAAAATTCCCTTGATCTTTTGACATATGTCATTGTACTATAAAAACATCCTGTAATTTTCAGAACTCAAAACTTTCTTGTTAGTCTAAAAACAGCTTATATTGAAGCCAATCTGCCAAAACGACAGGTTGTGGAATGTGCCACTTTATGACGTGACAGTGTGGCTAAACCCCGCCTCCGCAGAAGAGCAAAGCCTGCTTTAACAGCACTGCCGTTTAGCCCCACCCACCGATCTACGCATGTATTGTAAATAACAGAGAGGAAAATGCAGGTCTACCCAGAAACCACAATAAAGATGCTCCTAAAACAACAAGAGGATGTACAGTACAGTGCCAATTTGTGGAAAAATACAATCTTTTCATCGCCTTCCTTCTGATCCCAGCATTTGGAAAGAATGGATGAAGTTTATTTTTAATTTTAAAGTTCCAGATCAGTAAGAACTTGGTCCTGAGTTCACTTCATTGGCACCTCAGCCAATGAGGGCAGAGGGGCAGTAGCTCTAGCCACCTGGGCCACCCCCTGTGCACGGCCCTAAAATGCAGCATTCAACGGATCTACACTCAAAGCGAATGGCACTGGGGTCACCATAATAGTATTCTTCCCACAGATTCCTATTGGCTGCTCTTGCTGCTTGTGTCAAGTTTACAGAATGTTTTAAGTATTTTATGACTGTAAAATCATGATTTGCCATTGAATAAAAAAATATTGTATATGAACTGTTCTTGTTCTATATATAAAAAAACAGATTTTAGAGTGCATTTTTATGATTTAAAATGAAAAACCTTCAATAGGGTGACTGACCCAGCACTAT